ACTTTGGGACAAAGGAAAAATTATCAAAGAAAGAGGGTCTGAGATGCAAGAAAGAATAACAAGCAGGGAAAATGCCAAATTTGGGTAAAGAGAAACACTGACTATAATCAACAGTGTTAATGCCCTGTTTGTGCTCTAAAATTAAGAAGAAATAAAATACTAGAAGCGAGTAAGTCAATAAGGAATGAGGAAAAACAGTCTAAGGTCCTAGGCATATACTGGAAAAGATTTAAGACATTCGCATTAGACCTGCATTGTCCAGTGTATCCTCTGTTAGCCACTTGTGGTCATTTAAATTTTAAGTGACATCAAATTTTAAAAACTTACGATGCAGTTTCTCAGTTTCACTGGCCATGTTTAAAGTACTCGATAGCTATGTGTGACTGGTGTCTCTCTTATTGGTCAGCACTGATCAGCTCAGGAAGTTCTGTTGGACGGTGCTGCTTTAGATAGGAAGTAGAGTATCTATGTTAAAGTATCTCGTGTAACCACTGAAACAGAGGCACTAAACTGGGGGTTATATTGCACGCCTAGAGGGGTATCAGGAAGTATTGAGATTATTTTGGTTTGTCACAGCCATCAGCATGGGCAGGTGGCAATGAACCTAACCATCCTGTAATACAAGGCTCAGTTCCACACCAGAGGAATGCTCTTGTCCAGATCTAGTGATAGAATAGAAGAGGCATCAGTGGGAATAAAACAGATCATTGAATGAGCCAGTTTACCAGAAATACATAATTTCAATGTATATGTGTCTAATCCTATGACTCTGTGTATATTAGAATAAGTGGACACAATTACAAAGAGAAATTGACAGATTCACTATTGTGGTAGAAATCTTTGAAAATGACTACCATTAATTGGTCAAATAAATTTAAAATAATGATAGAGAATATTGGATAACATGAACAAATGGAAAGCTATCCCATGCTCATGGATTGGAAGAACCAATATTGTTAAAATATCCATACCACCCAAAGCAATTTTCAGATTTACTGCAATCCCCATAAAAATTCCAACAACATTTTTCACAGAACTAGAACAAATAATCCGAAAATTTGCATGGAACCACAAAACATCCCAGATAGCCAAAGCGGTCTTCAGAAAGAAGAACAAAGCTAGAGAGATCACAGTCTCAGATTCGAGGTACACTACAGATCTGTAGTGATCAAAACAGAATGGTACTGGCACAAAAATATACACATAGATCAGTGGAATAGGATAGAGTCCAGAAATAAACCCACACTTTTATGGTCAATCTATGACAAAGGAGGCAAGAATATACAATAGGGAAAAGACAGTCTCTTCAACAAATAGTGCTGAGAAAACTGGAGAGCTACATGCAGAAGAATGAAACTGGACCATTTTCTTACACCACCCACAAAGATTAACTCAAAATGGATTACAGGCCTACACGTCAGACCTGAAACCATAAAACTCCTACAAGAAAGCTTAGGCAGTAATTTCTTTGATCAGCCATAGAAACATTTTTCTAGATATGTCTCCTCAGGCAAGAGAAACAAAAGCAAAATTAAACTTTTGGGATTATACCAGAATAAAAAGCTTTTGCACAGCAAAGGAAACCCACCAACAAAACAAAAAGACAACTTACTGAATAGGAAAAGATATTTGCAAAAGATGTGTCTGATAAGGAGTTAATATCCAAAATATGTAAAGAACTTCTACAAGTCAGTGCCAAAAAAACCAATCTGATTAAAATGGGCAGGGCACCTGAATAGACATTTTTTCCAAGAAGACAGACAGATGGCCAACAGACACATGAAAAGATGCTGGGAAATGCAAATCAAACCTATAGTGCAAATCAAACCTTACACCTGACACAATGGCTAAAATCAAAAGACAAGAAGTAAGTATGAGTGAGGATGTGGAGAAAAAGGAACCCTCGTGCACTGTTGGTGGGAATGCAGATGGGTGCAGCCACTAAGGAAAACAGTATGGAGGTTCCTCAAAAATTAAAAACAGAATTACTGTATGATCCAGTAATTCCACTACTGGGTATTTACCCAAAGAAAATGAAAACACTAATTCAAAAAGATACATCCACCCCTATGCTTATTGCAGCTTTATTTACAATGGGCAAGATATGGAAGCAACCCAAGTGTCCATCAGTAGATGAATGGATAAAGAAGTGATACACACACACACACACACACACACACACACACACACACAGGAATATTACTCAGCCATAAAAAAGAGTAAGATCTTGCCGTTTTCCAACAACAGGGATGGACCTAGAGGGTATAATGCTAAGTGAAATAAGTCAGTCAGAAAAATACAAATACCACATGATTGAACTCATATTTAGAATTTCGGAAACAAATTAACAAATCAAAAAGTTGATGAACAGATGAACAGACTCTTAAGTACAGAGAACAAACTGGTGGTCACCAGAGGAGAGGTGGGTTGGGGGGAAAGGTGAAACGGGTGGAGATTAAGAGTACACTTATCTTGATGAGCACTGAGAAATGTATAGAATTGTTGAATCATTTATATTATACACCTGAAACTAATATAATACTATTTGTTAATTATACTTCAATAGAAAATAATAAAGAGAATAATAATATATTAAAGAAATGAACATTTCAGATTAAGTACTAAAAGAAGGAGAATATTGGAACAACAGAATTCTCAGTTCTGATCAAGTGGACTAGAATAATATTAATTCTTTTAAGGATACCTGAAATATTTATGAAAAATGCCAAGGAGGTCATAAGGAACATCGCAAAAATGTTTAAAAACCATATTCTCTGGTCCCATTTCAAAGAAGTTAAAACTTAGTAGCAAAAGAAAATTTAGGCAAAAATCCAATTGCTTACAAATTTTAAAATACTTTTATTTATTTAGTTCATTTATTCTTAGGTACCTTAGATTTTTCTGTTATTTGAGAGAGAGAGAGAGAGCATGCACATGAGCAGGAGAGGGGCAGAGGGAGAGGGATAGAACCCTAAGCAGGCTCCACACTCAGCGCAGAGCCTGACACAGGGCTCAATCCCATGACCCTGAGATCCTGACCAAGGGGAAATCAAGAGTTGGACACCCACCAACTGAGTCAACCAGGCTCCCCTAAAAATTACTTATAACTCAAAGGTCAAAGGGGAAAGCATGATTTAAATAAGGGGGTATTCAGAATTAAATGATAATAGTAATAGTAGAACCTCTGAACTTCAGCGTAACTAGTACTTAGAGTGAAATACATGGTCTTAAATGCCAATATCAGAAGTAAGGAAAGAATGGAAACTAATGGGCTAAAACCAATAATTTAAAATTAGGAGGGAAGAGTCTTGATGCCTACAGCTTGCTTTCAAATGATCCAGAGAGGGGCGCCTGGGTGGCTCAGTTGGTTAAGCGACTGCCTTCGGCTCAGGTCATGATCCTGGAGTCCCAGGATCGAGTCCCGCATCGGGCTCCCTGCTCAGCAGGGAGTCTGCTTCTCCCTCTGACCCTCTTCCCTCTCGTGCTCTCTCTATCTCATTCTCTCTCTCAAATAAATAAATAAAATCTTTAAAAAAAAAACAAAAAAAAACAAATGATCCAGAGAAAGAGGAAAACAAATGTTGCTAATTATTAGCAATTGCTAAGTTTTTTTTAAGATTTTGTTTATTTATTTGAGAAGGAGAGAGACAGCCAGAATGGGAACACAGCAGGAAGAGTGGGAAAGGGAGAAGCAGGCTTCTTGTTGAGCAGAGAGCCCGATGCAGGGCTCGATCCCAGGACCCTGGACCCCGGGATCATGACCTGAGCCGAAGGCAGACGCTTAACGACTGAGCCACCCAGGCGCCCCAGCAATTGCTAAGTTTTAGGAAGAAGATGTGGATATTATCTCATTCTTTCAACTTTACTGTAGGTCTGGAATTCTTTTTAAATAAATTGGGGGAAAAGATAAAAGCATTTTCTTTAAAATCAAGAGTAAAGCAAAGATGTCTGTTACCACCATTTCTGTTCATTATATTAAAGATCTTAGCCAGTGCAATATGACAAGCAAAAGAAATGAGAATTGTAAGGATTAAGAAGGAAGGAAAATTATTCTGATTTGCACATTTTATGATTTTATGATGGTCTACATAGAAACCCCAAAAGAATCTGCAGGTACATTATTAGGATTAGTACTGTAAAGTTGCTGGAGAAAGACCAAAATGTAAAAACAGATTGCATTTCTATATATCAGCAGCAATTAGTTCAAAAATATCATTAGAAATAATTAACCATTTAAAATAGCAACAAAAATCTAAGGTACCTAAGAATAAATTTAAAAAGAAGATGTTTAACACCTCAACGATGAAAAATTATAAAACTTGACTGAAGGTCTTTAAAGAAAGTCTAAAAGTAAACTATGTGTCAGGTTTATGGATAGAAGAGATGGTATCACAGGATGTTAGTTTTTCCCAAACTCATCTATTATTGGATACAATTCAGCAAAAACTCCCAACAGGTTTTTAACAGAACTTGACAAAGCTGATCCTGAAAATATGGGAAATCAGTGCTCAAAAATAGCTCAGACACTTATGAAGAAAAACAAGATGGTTGGTAGTCTTGCCCTGGCATATATTAAGGCATATCATCTTTAGGATAGTATGCAGAGGTAGACAAATCAATGTAACAGAAGGAGAGGCTAGTAGAGAAACAATGGCTTGTTCAGTACCCACATTTAGGACAGTATGCAGAGGTAGACAAACCAGTGCAACAGAGAGAGATTAGTAGAGAAAAGATGGACTGTTTAGTACCCACATTCAGTGAGTCCCTGGGCTTGTAATACTTTCATATGTTTTTTAGAGCTTGTTCCAAGAAGTGTGCTAGGCCCTGGCAATAAAGTGTAGGATTTCACAGTTGCCATCAGGTACAAATTGTATATCTAGAGTTTGGTGCCTCTAGCTTTGGTGCCTCATGAACTTCTAAAATTACATGCAAAATTTTATACTAATTTTTCTGGATGCGTGTTCATCAGATTCTCAAAGGGGTTCTTTCACACACCCAAGTGGTTAAAAGGTGCTACATTCTTGACCATTTTATGACACATTTAATTTCTGAGGCCCCCACCGGATGCTATACGATTACCAAAGAGTATCATCAAAGCTTGGGTTGTAAAGGGCATAAGGGGAGAAGAGCAAGAAGGTCTCTTCAAACAGGTCATGCTTGAGCTGAGCTGAGTGTGGAGTATAGACCCTTTATTCTGGTGTACTACAGAGGGAAAAAGAAGGATTCCAGGCCAGGGGAATGATGTGTGCAGAGCCTGGGTCAGAGCCTGGGTCATCATGTGGGGAACTACAACTGTAACTGAATGGGAATAATTATAAGAGGAATATAGAAATATGACAAGAAATGAAGCTAGCAAGTTGAGCAGTTACCAGATATTTCAGAGATTTCTATTCTTTTTTTTTTTAAGATTTTATTTATTTATTTGAGAGAGAGAGAGAGAGACAGCGAGAGAGGGAACACAAGCAGGGGGAGCGGGAGCAGGAGAAGCAGGCTTCCCACTGAGCAGGGAGCCCGATGCGGGGCTCGATCCCAGGACCCCGGGATCATGACCTGAGCCGAAGGCAGACGTTTAACAACTGAGCCCCCCGGGCGCCCCCAGAGATTTCTATTCTGTGCTAATGAATAATCTTCTGACATATTTGTACTTTTGAGGAAGCGTGTAGGAGTAAATTTAACACGTTTTAGAGGTAGATGTGGTGGACAGGGTTGAGGTAGGTCGAGTCTAAGGAGACTCTCAAATTTCTGATCTAGTCTGGTCCCATCACAACAAAACTTCGTGAGCATGGTTGATTTTGCTGTTGTAGTTATTGTTTAGTGGAGGGCAAGGGGAGGGTGAAGTGTTACAATTCATCTTTCCATGGTAGAAAATGCTTAGACTGCATTTTGTATGTATGGTATGAATTATGTAGGTGGTTGTAGATAAACATTTGATTAAGAATTGTTGGAATGTAGGTAGTAATTTGAAGCCGTGGGAAGGATAGATGTTGAAGAATATGGTTTGGTGTGCAAAAGGCCATGATACTTGGAAGGAGATGCTGTTTTAGGATCTGAGCTGGGCTGAACACCAAGAAGTGGTCAGAGGCTCCATTGCAAACCTACCCCGACATTTTTTCTCCCCTTTCTACCAGCCCCATCACCAGAATGTCTACCATGGTAGCCTTGGGTACCATTAACCCAAGGGAACAGGGGATGAAAGTTGTAGATGATAAAGAGAAAGGAAAAGACGTTCCTCTTGACAACAGGCAGGGGCATTGGAAGAGGGTGGCTGGAGTAGGGAACAGAAGATCTGAGTCCCCGTCTCACCTTTTCCATTAACCAGCTAAGTGAGCTCAAGCAAGTCACTTCTCTTCTCCAAGACCCGATTTCCTTAGCTATAATATGGGTTTGTGAAAACCAGCCTTCACTTACAAGGTTGTTATATGAATCAAAGGCTACCATGGATGATATTCTTTGGTGGAATATAAAGTGCTTTATTGTTATGTTGGTCAGTGGTGGGCTAGAGGGGGTGGTAGGAGACTCACTACAAAGCCTCTGTTGAATCGAATGCCTAGGGCAGGCTGAAATTCCTTTGTATAGGGTTAAGCCATGCCGTTATCAATTTGTAGAGCAGTAAGAGGCCTGAGAAATGACTTTGTAGCGAGAATGCAGAGATCTGCAAAGTTATTCTGTGATAACATTCCACAGAAATTTCATGTCAGGGTCCACACTGGAAGCCAGGCCTCCTCTCTAGGTGTGAGATTCATTTCTAGCCGAATTTGCACTGTCATGCAGTGGAACCTTCCCAAAAGTCACAAACATATTGATGAACTTAACAGAATCCAAATAGCATGTTGATACCTGAGGTTTTTCTGATCAGGAGTGCTGGGCGCTACATGATCTGGACCAGAGTGTGTTTATTCTAATGCCAAAGAGGAAAATAATTTGTCTTAAACTGACTTATTTGCATTGCTTGCAGCTTTCTTGGAATTACATGCGAAATCAGTAATTAGCATTTGACGGAGCGCTGTCAAAATCTGAGTTACTTTTGGAAACTTCTCAGGTGATTGCCCCCCCCCCCCCCGGTTTTCCACAAGATCTTTATAAACATCCTGCTGCGCTCTACTGCTCATCCCGCGGTTGAACGAGGGGTGTTACGTGTGGGATGGGCTTGTACGTGAGTGCCGGAGCGGACGGGGGCCTGTATGTGAACACGGGGGCAGACAGAGCACTGGACCAGAGCCCATAATAGTGCCTCATTAGTCCTTGTTCTCACTGGACTAGTAATAGGATCAAGCTGGCTTTCTCAAACTGAGAGCTTGTTGTTGAAATTAGCATCCTTGGAAACAGATTGGTAACATTATCTGTGAGAGGCTGAATTTTTATGTGTGCTGGGCATTATACTGAATGCTTCACACGTGTAATGTCATTTTATCTTCAGTAATCTCATGAGGCAAGAACTTTTTTATTTGCCATTTTATATAGGAGGAAAATAAAATCGGGAAATCAGTAACAGTCCAGTGTCCCTCAGCTAGGATTCAGATTTCGGTCTCACGCTGAAGCGTATTATGCCTTTTCCACACTTCCCAGCCATGTCATCCATCTCTGGCAAATGATTTAACTTCCCCTAGCTCGCATTCTTCAACTTCAAAATGGGGATCACATGAAAAGCACTCCCCTCCCCATCTTCACAGGTGTCCAAAGGATAAAATGTGCAGAAACATTTGGCAAACTCTAGAGTTTTGATTGTTCTTTGTCAAGTGCCCAGTAAATGTTTTTGTCTGTCATTCATGCTATTTCGTGTTGTAACAATTGTAACTTCACTGAACACTAAAGCTTTTCTTATAAAAGCATACATCCGTGGGTTTTTTCACTATCGATGTTTTGACAGAGCTATTGAAGGGTTCAATTTGGGGTTTCTGTGATTTGCAAAATCACGCAAGAGTTCATGTTCGGTATATTTTCTAGGGGTATCTGTCACTTTCTTTTCTAGCAGTAGGAAGAACAGTCTGGTGTGGTAAGTTGGTGTATAAAGGCTTGATATGTGTCTTCTTTCATCTTCTGATCGCCTTGGTGTTACGTGCAGTGGGCATGCCGCGACCCTTCAGATGCCAGCCCAAAGCTCGGGTGGGTCTGCGGGTGATTTAAAGCGATAACCTGACATCTGCAATCATCCAGCAGGCACAGGTCCCCCCTGAGTGGCTCAGAATCCTTGGTTGTGCTCTGGGACATTCATGTCTCTGTTCTCAGAGGGCTTAGCGTCATGTATAACCAGCTCTCAACTTTCTGCCCCCCACCCCCACCCCATGCTGACTGCACCTCTCCCCTCTGCTGTGCCCTGACGCCCCCCCCCCCCCCCCCCCCCCCCGCGCCCCCCCCCCCCCCCCCC